TTAGCCTCTAATTTACCTTATCTGATCTACCGTAGTGATAGGCCAAAGCGAACAGGAGGAGGTGTTTGCTGCATAATTAAGTGTAATATATCGATTGGCAAAGTGCATCACCACACTATACCTGATATTGATTTGCTTTCGATTGACCTGCTGTGTCCCTCGGATGCTAGTTATGTGAGGTTCATCGAAATATATCGTCCACCTAGTTGTAAAAGATATGAAGATTATGAGCTCAAGAATGTTGTACTTGATCTCACTTCCTCACAAACCAAAGATATGACTATTTTGGGAGATTTAAACCTTTATGTCAATTGGATTGATTGTTTCGATAAACCAAAATTCAAGAAACTTGATGGAGTTCTTTCTTGATTGTGAGTTTAAGCAGTATGTTCACGAACCTACTCATGGTAGCAAAATTCTGCATTTGGTTTTCTCTACTGAAGAAATGTAAAGTGTGTCAAAATATTTTGCTTCTTTTGATCACAACATTATTGGATTTCATGTAAAAGGTAGCTATACCGCTAAAACTATTTATCGTGTCACTGATTTTCCAAACTGATTATCCTGGATTAAACGATTATTTCCATACTCTTGATTGGACTTTTTTGTTTGTAAATCGTACCTCTCTTGACGACACCTAGCATAGATTTTGTACCAAAGTTTACAAAGGACTTGGCAAGTTTGGCTCTATGCAAATCATCAACAGTTCACCAAACTTTCATTAACCTAAGCACATATGTGCTCTTCTAGATCAAAAGCGAAATTTGTTCAGTGCTTTAATGAATCTTTTGACTAACGCATTATACAAAAAAGTTTGCTTTAATGTTGTTTTTCATCTAAAAAAAATTTTGGCTAATTATGAAAAACGGTTATCTACTTATGCAAATTTTAGGAGGTTTTCGGACACATACGAAGCAAACTGCAAACCAGAGGCTTTTCCAGTGTTTTTGATGATTTGGTAAATAATGTGTCAATGATGCTGATAGAGCAGAGGCTTTGGGAAAATATTTTGCTAGTGTTTTCGCAAATGGTTATGATGTATGCTATCCTTTGAGTTACACCTAACCTCAGCAGACTTGTGATACTCTCTATTCCCATGAATCTGATGTTCGCATTATTTTGAAATCTTTACTTTTCTTCTTGTACTGAACCCTACGATGGTATCCCGCCTATAATCTATAAAAAATGTGCGGATGTACTTTCCAAACCTCTTTCGGATTTGTTTAATCTCTCTATGTATTTCGGTGAAGTACCAATTCCATGGAAAAGTCGGTGGTTATCCCAAAGATTGATACTGCTGTTAAAGTTTCTGACTTTCGTCCCATAAGTCTCACTTCAATTCCAGTCAAAGTGATGGAAAAAATTATAAGGAAAAAGCTGCTTTTTTGGATCAAGAAATGTTACGAAATTCCACCTCAATTACATGGCTTCGTTTCCAAAAGATCTACTACCTCTAATCTTGTCAAGAGCGTTTTTGACTGGAGAAAAGCTCTTAATACTGGAAAATCAGTTGATGAATCAGTTGATGTAATATGTATTGACCTTTCAAAAGCCTTTGACAAGATTCCTCATAATGCTTTGATAATGAAACTCAGAAAGTTTGGCTTTTCTGGCAGTCTTTTACACTGGTTTCGCCCTCTTATATTATTCTTTTCTCTGTTTTGAGTTTGTTCTAATGTTTCTTTTTTAGATCTGGCTCAAGGGCGCTTTCTTGTCTGGTGACTATTGTGTGTTGTATGAATTATGGCTTATACTTTATGTTCCTTCTTCCGTCTGGATTGCTACTGAGAGTCTATTTAAATTATGTGGCATCCACTGCTCCTCCTAACTTCCTGCCTCGTTAAATGATTTTATAACAGTGCAGCAGTGCTTTAATTTCCTGTTGAAAGATAGCCAGATCAAGTACAATGTTGGCCGCTAACTCTATTTATTCTATTGTTACTAACCATTGATACGTGATAAATGAAACGAGCTTGTCTTAATCTGCAGCGAGGTGACTTTAATCGAGATATAATGCCTCTTCTGCCTCTTCTGAACCTACTCAATCATTGTCTTTGAGCAGTCTTTCAAACATGCACTTTTAGGTCATTACATTCAAAATTTCGTTCAGAGTCTGTCTTCATCTACAATTAGTTTTTCCGGGGTCAAGTCAGCTAGCTTCCATTCGCAGGCTCGTCGTTGACAACCAAAAAATGGAGTCTATTACCTAGATGAAGCAAGATACTGCTGCTCAGCCTTCTTTGATCGAGTATTCCATATTTGCTGATTCTTTAGCAGATTTTACGGGCCTGAGTCTTTAAGTTCCTTCTTACGTGCGCATTCAACTTCCGTTGCGTTTGAGACTAGATGGCATTGTATTTTGCTGTTTCTTTTTCTTTTGTATTATACCTTTGAATGTATAAGTAAAGTAAAGTAAAGCAAATGTTACCATGTGTCTATTATGTGATGTCCAATTGGAAAGCACAAGGGCTTTCTGGTCAAACCGTTGACAATCGGTCAAGTGTTCACAGAGCTTGGCTCAAACTATAACGATCTAGAGCTTGCTGCTTTTTTGAATGATGTTCTATATGCCCTCTTCTATATTCACATGCGTTGGTTGCAGTACTACGGACGTTACTTTTGCACTAACTAAGTATTCGCAAAGCGTCATCAAATGAATGACGTTGAGCAATCTTTGCGTGGAAAGCTGTTTATTAACATGCCCACTTATTGTTGCTTTTTATTTCCTTTTCATAGCCAAGAGCTGAGCGCCGCGGATTGCGTGATCCCTTTTAGGGTGTCGCCGCTGTGGTGCAGAGGGTCTCAGAGGGTAGGGGAACGAAGGCCGCCAGCTCAGGCCGCCTCAGCGGACTACTGGTCCTGGAACGACATGCAACAGTGCAAAAGGACCAGTCGGCCGCAGAGGACGCTCAAACTGGCGGCCTTCGTTCTCCTACTCGGTTTCAAAACGCCAGCTCTCGCGCTGCCCCGCCCACTAACAGCCGTCGTGAACAGGGTCAAGCGAGGTGTGGCACGCCACACCTAGGCGGGGGGGGGGGGAAGGGGTTGTCTTGAGGGTAAGAAGTGGAGGGGGGAGGTGGTTCCGAGTTCCGATGTTAGCGATATACGATATTCGTTGATATTGACGGATAAGATTAGGCGAAATACTAGCACAGTGATGTTTTGTACCATCGTATATGTACAGTATGCATAATAAAGGAGCCCTAAAGTATAAGAGCATCATTTTTGTAATTAGCATGTTTGATAAGGCCTGTGGGCCAAGTTTCAGCAAATTCTGAGTTTCCAAATTTTGAGCAGCCCAAGTGAGATGGTTTTAGAGCCTGTTACCTTGTTTCAAAGGTGAGCTAACTAATTCTTTTCATTTCACACTTTTTACAAGAACTACAAAATCTTTGCTCCCTTTAGGAATCCCACTTCAAATAACCTCTAGATTGTAGAACAAAAAGCAAGCCAAAATCTCATTTTTCGCTTCCAGTATCTCAGATTAGAGAAGAGCGATTAGGCTCAAGTCAATTCTGTGTAAATTAGAAGCTTAGAGTAACGAACAAACTTTTTTGTATTTTTGTCGCCTTCTCATTCGACTCACGTAGTAGCGCAGATAAAAACGACTTTATCTTTCCTTACAAGAATTAATTTTAAAAACTTCCTACTGTGTAAAAAACAAAGTTAAGCAGTAGCAATGATACAAAAAACGCACATTAATGGTTTGAAGGTAAGATAATAGGGTGTGGCACAACCCCTAAAAAGGTGTAGCAAAAACAACTTTCCTCCTAGAGTGGTGCCACACCGAGAAACTTACTTCTAAAGAAAATCGGAACAAATTGAAAACAGTTTGACAGCCAAAATCTCGTAGTTTTTATAGAAGTGATTAGAGCTAATTCGTCTTCTTTCGTTTGAGCATTAGTTACTGGAAGCACAATTACTGTAAGCGAAAAATGTGACCAACGAAATCCTGGCTGGCTCCTAATTCAATAGTTTGTGGTTAATTGAAGCAGGTTTTTGGCATGGGCAAATAGGAAGTAATGCTTTGTTTTGAATACAAAAGGGGGTAGCTAATTCAAGTCTGAAATAAAGTTATAGTGTGAACTACGGCCAATTTCCCAAAGGTACCTTCGCGGCGCGAGCCCTTCTCCATGCTTCTCCTCACTCAAAAGCAGTAGAGCATAACTGCGCATACACAGCAGAAAATTGAAAAGTGGATACCTCTAACTTCACTAAAAAAACCTATGCAAGAAGAAAATGCACGCAACCTCCATTAGTACTTCAAATTCATTCAATGGATGCAAATTTCAAACTTGCACTGATGGGTAAGCGGTAATAAGCAAACTTACAACGAGGATACTTAGTTGAAAACACCAATCCAAATGAGACATTTATCATCTCAAAGCGCCTGAAAGACTGATTCCAAATCTGTAGTTTCTAGCAGAGGAGCTGTTTTGTAAAAGGAGTTATGAGCGGTGTTTCCTTATGAGCTTGGGCGCTCTCCAGCAGGTCAAAATTTGGGCTTAGGACGTTGGCTGGAACACGCTCTACGAATTTCGTAACAGACGAACACACACACAAAAACACGTAAGCAACCCTTAGCCCGTTATTATAAGGTCTTGATTAGAAAAGGCACTAGCGATAGCTAAAATGACACATCCGTAAGTAGAAATTCCATATGTAGAATGAATCACGACAGCCTTCTCCATGCCAACAGACGTGTAGAGAAAAGTAGCACGGACAGGGCGGAGGCCAGGCGAATGGATAAACCGGCAGCCCCCGCCGGCATTCCCAAACGGGCGCACTGGTAGGGGGCTACTAGTGCACCCGCTCGCCGAACATCTATTCTGCCAACATCATCAGGTCCCGCAAACTCCAGAGGCAAAAAAGGGCAAAGCTGTGCATCCGAAAGCATGAAAGTCTAATTGGGCATGTAATTCAAACTTGCTAGTTAAAAGAAAGCAGACAGAAACGGTAAGCAAGCGGTAGTTTCATATAAGGTTTTATATAAAGAGAGTAGTTAACATAATCGAAATGCAGGAAGAATAGAGAAGTTCAAGGAAAAAAAGAGGCAAGAAAGTAATCGATAACAAAATGCAGTGCTATCATTTGACGTCCGGTATCTGCAGCAGTTGAAGTAAGTCGACTTTTGACAATGCTTTTCTGAGGTTGACGGAATTTTTCTGGTGTAGAAGTTCAGGGGGTAGACTCTCAATCCATTTGGCTGTTCTGGAAGCAAATGTGCTCAACCTGCGCAAACGATGTGATGTAGATAGTTTAGAATAACGAAAAGCGATGTAGGAGTGCCTTCCGTAGACACGACGAAAGCACCAGAAAGTAGAGGGTTTTAGGCGGAGTTCCCCTTTAAAAATTTTGAATGCAAAAATGAGTTTGTATGAAGTCTTCTGTAGTATTAAATGTGTGTGTGTGTGTGTGTGTGTGTGTGTGTGTGTGTGTGTGTGTGTGTGTGTGTGTGTGTGTGTGTGTGTGTGTGTGTGTGTGTGTGTGTGTGTGTGTGTGTGTGTGTGTGTGTGTGTGTGTGTGTGTGTGTGTGTGTGTGTGTGTGTGTGTGTGTGTGTGTGTGTGTGTGTGTGTGTGTGTGTGTGTGTGTGTGTGTGTGTGTGTGTGTGTGTGTGTGTGTGTGTGTGTGTGTGTGTGTGTGTGTTTCGAATAGAAATTTTTATTTCTGAACCGATCGGGACCAAGCTTTGCACACATATACTTCGGCGCAGGGCGGGTGTCATAGGCTACTTTTCGTTATCGGTCGATCTCGATTTTATCGATTTTTGGCAAAATTTGAGCTAGGGGGCTGGGATTTGGCACAGGGTGGTAATCGAGCATGCTGATTACGAATATATTATTTACAGGGCCGGATGGAGCCGGGTTTTCCAACTAGTCCCAAAATAATAAAGAACATGAGTGATCCGCTTTTTGCTGTAAATGTAAGGCCCAAGACAGAGTTCACGCGATTTGATCGTCGCCATTCAATCGCTACAAGACAAATGTTACGAATCCATTGCATGCCGACCTTGCATTTCGGTTGTGATAGTTAGTCACGGTTAGTCGTGTTGGAAAACTATACAACCGAAATGCAAGAAGATCGCCATGCAATGAACTCGTAACATTTTTCTGTAGCGATTTCATCGCGACGATCAAATTGCGTGAACTCTGTCTTGAGCCTAAGCTGAAGCCGACCCTACAGAATATTACATGCTCGATTACCCCCCTGTGCCAAATCCCAGCCCTTAGCTCAAATTTTGCAAAAAATCGATATCGATCGATAACGAAAAGTAGCCTATGACACCCGCCTTGCCCCGAAGTATATGTGTGCAAAGTTTGGTCCCGATCGGTTCAGAAATAATAATTTCTATTCGGAACATACGTACACGGGCGGAGCCGGGTAAGCCATCTAGTTAGTTATAAAAACGCAAGGTTTCTTTTTTACTATGTCGAAACATGTCAAAGCCAACTGCAGTTTTTGATGCGTCCCTTAAATCACCCCCGCAATAACGTTTCTATTACTGGTTTGTTGCGCTTATTGTTCTGAGCAATTATTGCCCAAGCTGGAAAAAAATCGCTGCGAAAGCACTGAAACATAGGGCTGTTTCAAACTGCCGCACTGATGGCAGCAGACTGCAGCTGACTGCAGCTGACCGCACTGACCGCAACGGCCGCTCAGGTCGCTGCATTCTTTCGTAAAGGAGGAAATAATGCAATTACGTCAAAATACCGTGATTTACGCCTAGGAAGTTCGTAGGTTTTAGTTACTCTTCTCAATCAGATTTTGGAGATTGTTTTTCTTCGGTATGCTCATATTTGTTTTGATTCCTCCTATTATTGCTTATACCCTGTCTTGTAATCTAGGCGTATATTGTCGTTGATTGTGTGAGCTAAAACTATCTATTTTCTTCACCTATACGAAAGGATGCAGCAATCTGTGCGGCCGTTGCGATCACTTCGATCTACAGTTTGCTGCGGCCAGTGCGGTCGGCTGCAGTCAGCTGCAGTCTGCTGCGGTCAGTGCGGCAGTCTGAAACAACCCATAACTAAGTACAAAAAAAGCAATTTTCACGATTGTTCACAAGAAATTCCGTCATAGTCGAAGAAAGCACTGGATTGTTGTCTGCATTATGAACAAAACAAGATCTATGGAATCGAAAAAGTCGCATGAAAAAAGTTGAAATAGGGAATAACAAGAGATTTTTGAAAACAAGGTTTTTGTAGGATTTCTCGTTCAAACCAAGAAATGTGGTTTTAAGTGCCAGCGTGAAAACAGAAATCAAAAGCTTCAATATGATATATAGCTTGCTAGAATTGGGCTCAGAACAACGAAGAATTGTTTACCAGAGCCAAATGTCCCGCGCCCCGCGTTTGGGTGCGGCAAGGTAGCGCGCAACGCGCGGAGACACAGACGAGCAGCGAGACAGACCATAGCCGACGGGGCATCTGGCTCTGGTCGCAAATCTCCGCGGGGTCTCAATGAAACCCTGCAACATTATATATCACTAGATGGCTTACCCGGCTCCGCCCGTGTACGTATGTTCCCAATAGAAATTATTATTTCTGAACCGATCGGGACCAAACTTTGCACACATACACTTCGGGGGGGGGGGGGCGGGTGTCATAGGCTACTTTTCGTTATCGATCGATATCGATTTTATCGATTTTTTGCAGAATTCAAGCTACGGGCTGGGAGTTGGCACAGGGGGGGTAATCGAGCATATAATATTCTGTAGGGTCGGCTTCAGCTTAGGCTCAAGACAGAGTTCACGCAATTTGATCGTCGCGATGAAATCGCTACAGAAAAATGTTACGAGTTCATTGCATGGCGATCTTCTTGCATTTTGGTTGTATAGTTTTCCAACACGACTAACCGTGACTAACTATCACAACCGAAATGCAAGATCGGCATGCAATGGATTCGTAACACTTGTCTTGTAGCGATTGAATCGCGACGATCAAATCGCGTGAACTCTGTCTTGGGCCTTACATTTACAGCAAAAAGCGGATCACTCATGTTCTTTATTATTTTGGGAATAGTTGGAAAACCCGGCTCCATCCGACCCTGTAAATAATATATTCGTAATCAGCATGCTCGAAACCCCCCTGTGCCAACTCCCGCCCCCTAGCTCAAATTTTGCAAAAAATCGATAAAATCAATATCGATCGATAACGAAAAGTAGCCTATGACACCCGCCCTGCCCCGAAGTATATGTGTGCAAAGTTTGGTCCCGATCGGTTCAGAAATAGAAATTTCTATTCGGAACATACGTACATACAGACAGACATACAGACAGACAGACATACAAACAGACATTCAGCTTTATATATAAGATTCTGATCGTCGTGACACGACGAGGAGCACTGACAACGCCGCAAGCGTTGAAAATCACTCATAGACCAGCACTTTTGTGCGCCACTCTCTGCACTAGATGCAAACTCAGTGTTCGTTTTCACTCCAACGGCTTTCCTTAACTTCTGAAAGCCAATTTTGGTCATATAAGAGGTTAATTGAAAGATGTTTTCCTGAATTCTGGGAAAACTTTCACAGAAATCTTCTCTTTAGCGTAAGAAAGGCACGTAAATGCTCGGTTCGCTGAGATAATCCAAAGATATTCTTCCCTATATTTGCTTCATTCACATTCGTTTCGGCTTGGGATGATAACATCCGGGGCTTCGCCCAGAATGACTTCTGTTTTTTTTTTCAGGTGAAGGCTGTGAACTCTCATGACCCTCAAAGTGAACGTTATCAGTGCACATGGCTCTATGTATCGAGGATATGGATCAAACTTTTCGATCTGGTCATAGCGGCGCATCATACCATTACGTCTTTCGTCGCCATAGGTCGGGCTACGGGCAAAGAACATTACGTCGCCGATCGGCTCCACCCACACGGACGATAGCACGCGGCAATAACGGTGAAGGCGCGCGGTTTGTTGCAAATGTCCGTGTGGGATACCCTCAGGCTACTATCCCTTATTGTCATAGACTAACACATTCATAGATAAACTGCGGTCCGATAAAAAGGAGTTTCCTTACTTAACAGTTCAGTTATGTAATGAAATTTTGAGCGAACCACCAAATGTGTAAGCTGTGATATACGCTTTCTTTTTGGTTTCGCTCTACCTTCGGCTAGTCTCTTCATACATGCAACCTAAGTCGTAACTGGTTTATAACTGCTAGTCAGGTGGGCAATAGTTGTCGGCATCACAGGCGTCCATTTGGCAAACGTAGTTTCCAGTCCATGAGTCACAAACCTCATTCTGCCAACCAAACTGAATAGATAATGTTTTGACGAGTAAGACAAACACAAGAAGTGCATTATTGAGCTAATTCCATGCAGCAGCTGAGAAGCTAAGAAGATGTAAATTCTCGCAAGCAGAAAGTTTGTGTGGAGCTGCATCACTTCGATAAGGCTCAAAGGATTCTGTTGCACTAACCTCATCACTGGAAATTTGGGTAGCTAAAACGCATGTTGCGTTGCCATCCAGGGAAGGGTAACCATTATTCCATGTATGAAAATCACAATCCTCCAGCTAAAAATAATACTTTACAGCGGAAGACGCGGATAGCAGAAAAAGGAACAAATACAGGGATTTTCTCTGGAAGTGCGCCTTTTGGCTGCTCCCAAAAGTAACCGGTTTTACTACTGTCATATGAGAGCCCGATGTGGTACGCGCATGGTTTCATCGTCGTTAAGTGATTTTTTACCATTTCTAAAGCAGTGTTTGTTCATGAAAAAATGGAAAAAACAACGTTCGGATTAATGACCTGCAATGAAGTTGTGCTTTGTTTTTTCAAGAGTCACAGCGAGGTGTCCCCTGCCGCCACTCAGGTGGATACAAGCATTGTTTGCGTCTCTCCAGTTCAGTTTGGATTCACCTAGCAAGTACAATGAGACCTGATTGAGCATAACTCTGAAATTCTTACCTATTCTTAGGCATGTTCCCATTTTTGTATACTTCCCGTAGTACTGTATCCATGGTTTCTCACAAAAGCAGTTTGCTGAAACTAATCACTTGCTAACAGTCTTATAGCGCTACTTTTCGAAAAAACCACCTTCGAGCAGCTCCATTTCAATGCAAACGGTTAGATCATGCCGCCTACGATTATAATAGGAATATTCACTGGCAATCTGTAGCGGAAAGGTCATGTAACCACTAAGTATGTAGGGTGTAATAGCACTGCCTGTCTTAAGTACGGTTCGCCAGAGCCACCCTGTTCAAAATCGACCACTATAATGTGTTTCCCACTATTTTTGGTCTGATTTGCTAAGTGCGTAGAATCATTGAAATGGCTGTCCCTGGCAAAACAATGCTTGTAGAAAATACTAATTCAATGCAGGTTTTCACTGACTTGGAATTGCTGGCAAAGACAATGATAACCTCTTTGACATTCTTCCTCAATCCATTTGTACGTCCTTCTTGAAAAACCAGTTCAGCTGCCGTCAGGCCTCTAAATGATATATTTTTCAAGTAGTAGGTCAGCTCTATATATTTGAAGGCGTTGAGATATACACTCACGCTTCTAAATGACTTGTCGAGTCATTTGTTCGTCTAATCTCCCAAATGCTCTCCAAAAATTCTTCAGTGGATTTGAAGTCAGTCAGTTTAGCTCTCTGAAGAACAGCCGTGAAGACAAAAAAGGTATGTTGGAGTAGACGCTGGGCAGATTTATAATCTTATCAAGCATACTATGTCTGCTTTGCTTCCATATGTAACCAATCCAACTCGAGAGTGATGGCCTTCGCCCTGCGCAATAGTCGCATGATCCAATATCGAGCCCATAATGCCTATCGACTGGAAAAGCGTTCCCTCGTAGTGGTTCATATAGCTCAGAAGCCGCCCAGTTTTGGCGATCTATTAGAGACCGTTAACTGGGGTCACTGCCAAGAGTGTTTGGAAAGTTCCTGGTCGTAAGTACTTCCGAGTGGGATTTTGAGCGCTTTTTGTTATGGACAGCTTATCAAAACATGGCTCAGATCGGCAAGAAAGTTTTTTGAAAGATAATGCAGAAAGTTATGAGACACCCTGTTAGGTTTATTTGAGAAAACGAAAATCACCTTTTTTCATAACAGGAAAACAAAAGCAGCTTTCTGTTTCTTATACTTACTGGGGTGCTCTTTGGGGTGGGGTCTTTGGGGACTATTGTAGCTTTGAGATCAAAAACTTTACTGGCGCAAAGGCTACAGCAGCGACAAAGCATTTTTGCGTCGAAGACTTCTACTTTGAGAACTGAAAGACTTGCTTTGAAGTGCACACAGAATCTTGAATTAACTCACTTCACGAAAACGAACGCACATCTGACTAAAAGAAAAGAGAACCTCCAAACACCGAAGTCCTCTATGACAACTGGTTTCCAGCTGTGTTCCAGAGTAGTAGGAAAACCGAAGAAACCGCAGAACTTGTTCTTGATGATGTCTTAGGTCTGGTGAGCGAGCAAGACCAAAAGTGCATTAAAATCGGAACTACTTGAGATTAGGAAATTTGCAAACACCAGTAAACTCAGCTTTGCTGAAGGCTTTAATTACATGAATGAGTCCTTCCTCTGGCATGCCCAAGGAGTTGTCAATCACGGCCACCACGTCAAGCCAAAGCTTTGTAACTCCCCCCTCACATCCTCTTTCGTCGTACTTCTTCCACCCATTTGAAGCAGTGGAAAGCAATCCTTAATTTTGTGTGCATAGCGAGGTGGAGGAACGAACACCTCAATTAAGCACCGCCTCCGCGGACTTCTGGTCTAACACGATGTACTACAGTAGGACGAAAATACCAGCAGACCGCGGAGGCTGTGCCTAATTGAGGTATTCGTTCCTCTACCCTGCAAAGCGCTTTGAATTTTTGCAAGTCATCGAGACACTCGAAATTTGGTTACATACCTTGCAGTATAACTGTGATCAGTGAGATCCTCATATTACTGTATTGCACACTAGATGCGAGGCTGAAAAGTGGCACAACGAGAACCGTTTGGTACAACGAAAGATTCGAGAGATTGAAAGAAAAGAAAATAGAGAATTCTTTGCAAAATTAAAGTTGTTTGACCTAATAATTAGCGAAAGTAGTGCTGCCTTTATAGCATCGAAACTGTTTCATGCTTTCTTGAGACGGACGTCTCATTGTGTTAGCATGTCACTACTAATCGATTGCAAATGTGGTATTAGATTGAGATAAGACAACATACTTGGCTGTGTCATACGAAGTAATTTGCTGAAGAAGATAGTTTGAACATTTGACTAATAAAATAATGCAATACATTCATTTTCATTTGCGCGCTTAAGGCGTTCCATAAAATAAAACGAGATGCTGTTAATATAGTGGAATGAACAACGAGTGTAAACGAAATCAAACATCTTCATATTAGTTTGCATTCTCATTGTGATTAGTGTAAAAACCATAGGAAAAGGCCTGCGTGGAAAGTACGTTGAAAAGCTAATGTAGATGTAGACGATGAAATTATAACTCCTTAGAGATGGGACCTATGCCCACCTGTCAGCGAAGCGATTTTTACATCATTTTTAAAAGCAAAACGGAAGCTTATGAGGCGGGTCCATTAACTTTGGTATAACCCCGACTGACCGGTATGCTAAGGAAAGCCCAAAAATCCCAGAAAAGGTGAGCCTGATTCACACTCAGTCCATTCGCTTACATCAGCAAGATGAGAGAATAAATGCTAGATCTTCACAGCAAAATAGACTCAGACCAAGATGATGATGAAAGTGAGTAAGTAAGAACTGAAGCAAACGAGTACACAATAGATAACGAGTGAGACATGGCATGAAGAGACACAAGAAACGTCAAAGCCGTACTTGATAGCCTGTGATTGAAAGAGCAACAAAACCAGTAAGTTTTAAAATGACAGGCTTCAGAAATGAATTAAGTAGGAAGCTTGATAGAAAACAAATCCCGTAGAACCATCCATCACAGCACATCCAAAGCACATCCAGCGATACAGGACAATTCAAGTCTCCTTAGCCTACTCCTAAAGACATGGCTAGCAACCATCTGCATTAGTGGTACCAACAGGGAGGCGCGAAAGCCATCTAGCTCTCTCCTTAATATTTATAATAAATTGATAATTATTATTCAAATAATTTATAAAGCTTCTCTTACCATTATTAGGTCAAGGAAGTAATGTCGTTTTTTAATTGCTTACTTTTGTAAAACAACCAGTCTCAACCCAAGAAAAGGCAAGGGGTACTGCTCAATAGAGTAAGCCAAGCTCTACAAGATGGCATTCATCTAGCCATGCCTGATCCACGATAATTTTGGCGTCAAAACCTAAAGGGTTTTAAATGCCAAAAAATCGAAAAAAAGTCGATCTCCGTCCAGATAATTTTTACAAATCCTACATTTGCATACTTCTTTACTTTCAATATCATACATCCATATGCGCCGTTGGTGTTTTTTTCCTTTAATATAAACTTAAAAAATAAATTTCAATGTTTTTGTCAAAGCAATGTTGGGCCGTTTTATAGATGATTTTATACTAAAAGCCTAAATAATTATAACTGTAAATTTTCAGCCTATTCCAAGCGGTACTTTTCGAGAAATAACAAATTTAACTATCTAATCCTCAGTTTCAGTGCTGAAATTCGATATTTCTCATAAATGGCCGCTCGGAATGCCGAACATCTACACTTACCTATGATTTACTTGTGTGTGCGGCTTATCATTTTTTGAAAAAAAACGAAAATTTTCATTCTCTCAGCTTCTACTCAAGGAAAAAATACATCAACTGCGCATGCAAATGCTTATTATTGAAAGTATAGATGTATGCAAATGGGAGGTTGCACGGATGTTTTTTGGAGGTAGGTCCGATCTTTTTTCTATTTTTTAGGCTTTAGAACTCTTTAGATTTTGAGTTCAAACTTGCCGTGGACCAAACATGGCGCGGAATCATAAATGTCATCTTGTAGAGCTTGCTTTGCTCTATCGAACAGTAACACTTGACTTTCCTTGGGTTGTGCCTGTTTCTTTTGTCAAAGCAAGCAGATAAGAGGACACTATTTTGCTGACAGCCTAATATAAAAAAGCGACCGGCTACAAACTACTGCAGTAACTTGAATCAGGTTTATGGAGAAAAATGAATTTGGAGCACTGCAATTTTTTCGGACCCTATAATTTGTGCGTCGGCAACAGGAACAATGTGAATAGATGTGCAACTTTTGGTATTCCTAGTATCTAGTCTGTCGTGGTGTGTTCGTAATACCACTGGTTTCATTTGGATTCATTCATAGCCAGGCTTGTATACCTTCATTTTTGATAAATAGCATTTGAGTCAAAATCTTAAGCATTGTTCTCACTTACAAAAACGGCGTAATCTGCAATAATGGTTCATCTGCTCAATGATTTAGTTTGTATAACACTCGTGTCATTCAGCATAGTTACCATTTTGAATGTTCCAGACTTGATTCAAAAATTCGACATAGAGGAAGGTAGTTTGAAAATTACAACCTTTTTTGAAAATATCGACAGCTATTTCATCATTCAAAAGTACCTAGACACAAACGTGAGGTTATAAGTTGTTGAAGTACCAATCATTTTTGAAGTGTAAGTCGAAGAAACATAAATTTGTTTATTAGCTTCTTTGCCGCAATATGGCAAAGACGGTGACTCTTTAGCTAAAAGAAAATGCCGATTCCCTTACTCTGGTATTGTATTAATCAAACGGTTTCGTCTCAAAGAATTTGCGGTTTCTTGGAAGTTTTGTGCAAGACGAGGTAAAAAGATCGATAGAGGTAAAAAAACCTAGAAGTCTCAAAATTTTTATGAGTATCCCTTGTTTGTAGCTTTGAGGTAGCTCACATGGAGCTCATATGCGCAGAGGTTTTCGACCGAGCAAGACCAAAAGCGATTTTTTTTTTGAATGAAAACTTTCTAAGCTTGTTGTCCTTACAAGTTCGTAATGCTCCTCCTTCATACCTCGAGCGGACCCAGCTTCACACGTCGTATGAAAAGTAGAAACGTAAACAAGATACTGAAGGAATCTATCATTAAGTAGAAGTGCAGTTGACTATTGAAAACGCATTTGATACAACACCATTTTATTTTACTTCTGTCATCTGTTTGCTGTAGATAGAGAGCTGGTCATTTGATGTTGCGGCTAGCTGGATTTTTTCAGGAGAGATTCTATACTTTCTCTATAAAAAATCAGGTACAGTACCGTTGGTGCCGTCGTTAAAATTTGCGAGAAGCGCGATATCGCGTCGGAATCTCCGCATCAGCGTAACTCTTCTAGAATCAGATTTCAAGAAAAAAAGCATATACTCTGAAAGAGCTTTGCTCTATCACAGTTATGAGCTGGCAGTATCCACCCACGTGGATAGTGCCAACTCATAATTGTTTACGAGGCTGTCATAATCCGCTCCAAATTGGAGTCACAAGGCATTGAAAGGGCACTGGTTTGGCAGAAGAGAAGTGCAGTCTTGGGCCCATATGCACGTACATCCCCGCTGGGAAGGGGAGGGGATCTGAGAGGGGATGCGTCATATCTCGCTACTCTACTTATCTTTTTTCTTCCTTTTCTATCTTGCTTATGAAGGTTTTTATACCCTAATACCTGCGCATAGTTGATGCCAGTTTACTGGCATAATTGCTTACATTTTCATTATTTTGTGTGATCCCCTGGGGATCCCCAGGGGATCACCTCTCAATTTCGATGCCATTTATCTCTTTAAATACTCTACAAAAAGCTGTAAAATCCTACTGTGATTATACCACGGCAATGCTAAAGGCGTCTATAGTAGAAATAAGTGAAATCTCAGGATATCGAAATTTTCGGTAATCCCTAGCTCGCGAGCTAGAGATCATCGAAAAAATCACAGTTTTCAGATTCCATTTCTCCCTTCGAAAACATACTTAGCAGTGCCGTAGTATACCCTCAGTACAATTTTACAGCGTTTTTATTGACTTCTCAGAAAGATGAATCACTTTGAAAATGGGCATCCATTATGCAGTTATAAGGGTATGAGAACCTTCATAAGCAAGATAGAGAAGGAAGAAGAAAGAACCTAGAGTAGCGAGATATGGCGCATCCCCTCTCAGATCCCCTCCCCTCCCCAGCGGGGATGTACGTGCATGCGGGCCTTGGATAGAATTCAATGAGCTCTTTCCGGCAGTACCGACGTAGCGTATATGCGCCTCGACACCGGAAACGAACATAAACTGCTCACCATCTCTTTCTTATCTTTAAGGCATAAAATTTCCATTCGCACCTTCTCAAATTGTAAGTTCAATTACAACCACAGCTCTGATTACTTCTTCTTCTTGAAATTTTCATTTTTCCTGGAGTAATACAGTTTTTATGAAACTAAGAAGGCTGATATAACTTTTTAGCAGATGCTTTAATACCGGGTGCGATAACTTAGGAACCCGAGCCTAATTAGCTCGATTCAGGGAGTGCGTGCAGGATACAGTCATGCTCGCTGTCTCCGATTACTCCCTAGGACATGGATGGCTGCAATCTAACCCCCGCCTCCCTGAGAGTCTGTTTTAGAACCTAGCCAAGGAATGCTGAAAGTCCCAATTGTATTTCAAGTCACTGAAACTGGCTCTTAGCCAAGAACCTTCAAAATGATTGTACGAAGGTGGAATTAGGCTCAAACGAAAGAGAATAACCATGTCGTTATCATAAAGTAACTACTGTTTAAAATTGTTTGAACACAACATTCTTTTGGTTCAAGACTTTATTTGAATGTCAAACTATCGGGAAGTTATTCAAGAAACAGCCAAGCTTTTCAAAAATAATTTATATGATTGCTAAATTCGGGCAAACGACTAGAAATTCATTCGCAAAATACTTTTCGGTGGGATTGCTGAGCTTAACCAAGATTGGTACGATAACTTTTATTGGCTGACGTCGACGTTTCGGCGATCTACGCCTTCTTCGGAGCCTGGAAAGACGAAGTCATAAGTGTCTATTCACTCAGACGTCAAGGGCCAAGAACAAAACAAACCGAGGAGATTAGCTAAAGACATTACCAGAGCCACAAGAACCTATACTCACCTTAGACGCAGCACAATCGGTAGCTGAAGAACAGACCACCTAATGCAAAACTGTGCCTCCAACCTCTATTTATACGCCTGAGTGACCTGACCTCAGTCAAACCCACAGAGGGCCTGATAAGGCGCGAGTTCGGTGGTGATTGCAAGGCACTCGTCTTTCCTATTCATTTTTGGATTTTTCGCGGCAATCCAAAATGCTTCTAACGTTTTGCGTGCCAGGAGTTCGGGCTCAAATGATAAGATCTTTACTGCAATCTGGATTTCAGCACCTTCATGACGGCTTATTCGATGTAGTACTCTGCGTTGATACCACTGCTT